CGACCAATAGAAAGTTCGTCGGAAATTACTTGTTTCGTTTTTTTTTTTTTTTTTTGGCTATGTGACAACGATGCAGATGTCTCAGCCCCGATGGAAAAAAAAAAAATTTTGATACGCAGCCGATCATCGTTGATTATTCTTGACGCCACGCCATGAAGGGGAGGGGAAAAGAAAAACGGAGCGGAATTGGGGTTTCCCAAGTCACGTACCTAGGTAATCAACACCGAGATTCGGCCCTATGCCGACTTTTTTTTCTTTTCTTTTTTTTTCCTCCTTCTGATCGTCGACACTGGAGTTTACTTTCCTGTTGAGATGATAACAATAAAATATTTGTCGATCCGAGTATGTTTATTCAATACTAAAGAGCTGGTCAGTCGGGTTTGTTGCCTGCCGCCCAGTCGGCATGCTTACTTGAAGATTGCCTCCGTCATGTCGGTGCCGTGCCGTCCGTCGTTCATGCACACCAAGAAAAACCTTATCGGGTTCAGGGAAGAGCAGCAGGCATATACACATCGGGACGGCAAGAGTGGTTGTACCACATTGGCCAGGATATAATGGGATCAAGGAGTCATGCAACAGATGGGATTTCTGAAACAATTCAATCGGGTTAGAGAATATGCAGTGAGAATTGAGACAAGACAGTCAATATATTCTTCAGGAAGCAAGGAACCGCTACACTAGTCATGTGTATGGGCAGATCTAGAAGCCTCCCATCCGTCACCAAGAATGCTGAGCAGCACATCTCTTACCAATTACATCGGCAAAGGTTCCGCTTGCAGGATCGTCATTCCCTTGTCCGCATCTATTGAAAAGGCTGAATCAAGAGTGAACTCATGGCTTGCAAAGGTTACACAATCAACTCCGCGTCCCCGCTCATGCCTTGCAGATCGGGCAATACGCGAGATATCTTTTGTGGCCTATAGTGAAAATGCGAGTTGTTGATAAGCGAGCATGCAAGCGTGGGAGCATGTCGTTCTTTCTTCGTATAATACAAGGGCGACGACTGTCTCTAGAATCTGCTTGCCTCTCTCGCGACGGCAGAATGGTCGGAAAGCCTATTTTGTTGCATGTATGTCTCGTTCTAATTTTACAAGCGGAGCCGCATTGCTATTTGTATCAAGCCACTGTAGAAGTGGCTGATGCACGCGTGATCTTCATGGTTTCTAAAGATAAGATCCGTCATTGCTCGCGAGACTTGTCCTCATTGGCTGCATTGTCTTTGCTCTTGGCATCCGACAAGATCTTGACTGCATCTTTGCTGAAAACGTAGCTCAGACCACTCCAGATGGTTGTAGTAGCTACAATGTATCTGTCAAAGCCGTTAGCCTTACTCTAGCACGACTGGCGGCGCCCTCTCGAGATGAGTCGTAAATGGACCAGTAAGAGAAGTGGATCATGCCCATGATCACATGTGGTTGGAAACCGCAATGTTTCTAATCACACAGAGACCTTATTACAAGCGGAGCGGCGAGGCTGAGATGCTGTGGGGGAGCTCCCGAGGCTTGAGGGTACTAAATGATGCGGGGGAGACCCCAGCTGGGATTATACAAGGTCCGGGAGCAGTGCTGGTATAACTTACTGAAGTCCAATCAATGCTGGCCCAACTTCAATGCCGGTCACCAGTGGCGCCACCACGGTAGATCCCATGAGGGCAAGCTGGAGGAAAGTGTTGTACTTGCTGATTGTTGTTGGACGGACCTCGGCTGAAGGTAGGCTAAAGTCCCAGTACCTTGTGAATGTTTTCGGCGGCGGGAGCGAAATCCAACGGTAGTAGATGGCCGATATGGCCAAGCCAACGTCCCGACCCAAGATGATACCTGCCAGCCAGACTGGGCAATTTTGACTCGGGGTCAGCATGGTTCATCGCTTGCCGCGCGCGCACACACCGGGACAGGGGCAGGGTTGAAACCCAAGATCGGCAATATCCAAGGTCTAGAGTATAGAAGATTTCCACTTACTGGGCAATGCACCTTTGGCAGCCAGGCACACGGTCAGAATTGTCATTAGCATCTTGTCAGCCATGGGATCGACTATGCTGCCAACGACGGTTTGCAACTTCCACCGACGTGCGATCCATCCATCAAGGAGATCCGATACGCCAGCATAGACAAATAGGCCCAGTGCCCAGGCGTGGGCATCGTGAAGTATGGCATAACCAATGAATGGGGAGGCGATGATACGGCTAAATGTCAATAAATTTGGAATTGTGTATATATTCTCATGTGGCGTCAGTGCAGACCCGAGAGCCTTGGGAAGGACTTTCCGAATCGCAGAGGTCGAAGTGACACCCGCTGCCGTTTCCGGACCTCTATTGTTACAGCATTAGCGACTTTGGACAGTATATTTGTCCCTCGATAGATCATGTCATGTTCACGAAATGTCCTCATCTGATCCCAACTGGGTGCCAAGCTAGTGAGCCAAGACAACCTGATCAAGTGTAATTGGCGGGCAGAGGAATTTCCCAACAAATAATCACAAGTCCACCATGACTTTGCAGTGTTTTCTTCTTTGGTATTCAAGCGAGTACAGTGGCATGGACATTGGGTATATCGGGGTTTAGTGTAAAAGGGTGTGTGTACGTACTGCTCTTTGGGGCCTTTGCCATCGCGCTCCAGACAACTTGTTCTAAATGAGAAATGTCTACATAGGCTGGTGTTCCTCATGATGCCATAGATGGGTCTCTTCACAGCAAGACTAGGCACGTCCAGGTGAGTCATACCGGGACCGATGCTGCTGCTGGCGGTGGCAGTACGAGCTGCAATGCATTCTGCTGCTTGCTCCGAAGCCCGGTCAGCTGCCAGTTCGTGTTGGGATCGCTGTCTCGACAGACGCCGCAAAACAGTGGCAGACGAGAAATAATGGATCGACTGCGCATGTCTCAGGCTGACAGGCGCGCCCCTCGGATCCGACACCAAACGTGCTCGATTAGAGTTCAGTGATGGCACAGTCATGCCAGTGGCCAGCCTGGCAACCGCAAAGCGGGCGCCGCCGCAGGACAATGTTGGGGAAGCCATGATGAACGGACTTCAAGCCTGCTCACGTGCAGTGTAATCGTCTCGTCGTTTGCTCTTCGCGCTCCACCTCCTAAATCCGAGCCAACAAGCCAGCCAATGATACTCCTCCGCCAGCAAGGCTCAAGTGCCTCAACGGCAATGCCCGAAGCCCTCGGTGGAAATGCAGCGGGCCCGGAGAAAACAGTTGATGATATCAAGGGCAATGGCGTAGCTAAGCCTGCCCAAGGGCTGCCTTCTCTCGGGGCGCCGTTGCTATGCTTTGTGATAGGACGGTTAATCACCGGCGCCAATGGAGCAGGCAGACACGGCCGAGGCGCAGCAGTAGTAGCAGCAGCAAGACAGTTGAGGGAGAAAGACACAGGCGACGGAGACGCCCGACTCGGTGCTTGGCAGAGTTTGGCTTTGCAACCGCCCCCTCAAGCCCAGTGACAAAGACAAGGACAAGACAAAGATACCAGCAAGCTCCCAAGGAGATGGATGGATGGGGACGGGGCAGCGTCGAGCTCCTGCAGCTTATGTTAGCTGGGACTTTGCCAAAGTCTATCTCTGGGACAGTCACGGGTAGAGGTTCCGAAACGGCTACTAGGCATGTAGGCACTGTAGATCTTCAATGTGTGTGGTCGGTTTTGTTGGTGGGTGGGCGGGTGAAATGTGCAGTAGGTAGCAGGTAGGCTTGGTTGGTAGGTAGGTAGTGAACAACAGGTGTGGAGTGTAGCTGCATACGTACCTAGCTGTGCAGTGGTAGTCGTACTGTGTCCAGTAGCAGTACTACAGTCGGGTGGTAGTATCAGTTCCCTGGAGCTTGCATGACATTGGCAAATCAATCAAATTGGCATGTGGCATACGCTCGTGCGAGGGAGCTGAGGTGAAAGGCATCAATGGGTAGGTAGCAGTAGGTAGGTAGATAAATGGGTGAAGATTTTCGGAGGATTTGGACTTTTTTTTTTTTTTTTTTTTTTGGCTTCTGCAACAAATCGGTTAAGCTCGCCGCCAAGTGGCCAATCAGCCAACCAGCGTAGGCGAGTTCCTTCTCTGCCGTACAGTGTGGAATCGGCGACTCGTGCACGGAGTTCGCGCAGTAGTAGACCAAAAGTCAAAATATCGGCAGCCACTTCCTGTTGTTCTTATTGTTGCCTACTCCAGTAGGTTTAGTTGGATTCTTAGAATCTCTAGTGATTGAAAATCATCCGAGTCCGATGCTATCTTGCAGGATCCAACCGGAGATATTTGATCTACGTATCTCATAAGTAACCCAAGTACCTTGAGTCGAGAGAAATACAAGCCACCCAAGCTCAAATCACCAGGTACGTGATGGGGATCTAAGTTAGTCAAGTCCTCCGCTCTAATGTGCAAAGCGCTATCTCGTGCTGTGGCTGCTTTGCTTAGACACACTTGTATTCCAACTATTCCCTTGCCGCATAACGATAATCGAGGTACTTTGGGTGGTTCTTCTCATTAACGATGAAGCAGGTGAATGGAACCTGATGATCTACTCGGCTTCTTCCCCGGACCGGACTGTAGCCTACATGCCTAGTAGTAGTATTCATGTATAATCTGCCCGTGTAGGTAAGTAAACCTCAACAAATCATAAGAGCCTATCCCTCTCCTCCTCCCCCGCCCGCCTTAGCCCATTCTCCAACATCAAGTCCGCAAATACGCTAGTTCCATCGTCAGGATTACATTCAAGTCCAGTCATATTGTTGGCTGTTGTTGCCAATGACGGCAGAAACAGGTGGAGCAGAAGAGAGGGGGAAGGATAATGTAGGGAGAGAAACGGATTGGGGGGGAGGGGGGCTCCCAAGCCACTCGCTCACTGACGCATGTGTTGTAAGAGTGCTTGCTGAACTGACTGGCTGGCTAATGTAGCTGGGCTGGCCGAGTCTGGTGGGCTGAGTCTGCACGTCATTAGTGATATCTCATGCAATTCAAGTAGGTAGGTAGTATGGATATTGATGGCACAGGTACCTATGTAGGCCATCTATCATTGAAGTAGTCAGGCAGGGATGTTAACTACAACCACGTCAATACTAACGGATTGCAGCCATCTGTACCATGTAGGCCCTGCTGTACCTCAAATTGATCAGTCTCAAAGTCATGTTCGGGGCCAACCTACTGCTATCACTACCGTGCTACCACGCTAACTATTACCACCAACTGCTCTGCTGATGGTGTTGTATCAGGTAGTTACGGGTGCTAATCACATATGCTGGGTCTCTCGGCAGAATTTGAATGGGCGGACTACTCATATACCGACAACATATGCGCAGGTACGTCGAGTACCCAAGCTCGTCCAATCGGTTCGTCCCCATGCGCTAGCACATGTCTGGAATGTTGACAAAGACTTCCCAGTATCTCGTCGTACTCTCCACCAGACATGATCCTGGTCAAGTTAGCCCGTATTCCTGCAGCATCTACAACGAGTATTGGCTTTGTCTGTAGTCTGGGCTGAATGTACTAACGGTAATGAATGTATGCACGAAGCAGCATAGTCTCAATCTGACTGCACTCCTCCACTCACTACCACATCTCCTCTCCTCTCTTGGCCTCACCTCAAAATACGGCCCACGGATTCCATGGCTTAAGTGACAAGAGAACCAGCAGAGCACTGTAATCAGTAACACCAAGCGAGTGTGGACAAGAACTACCGGAACTCATCAACTATTGGGAGTAGAGCCAGTGTGTCCTCGGAGATCAACCGATTTTTGGGCAACTCTTACGCAACACAATTGGTCTCTGAAAGTAGATGCCCATATTGGCTCCAGAAAATAACACACGTCTTTCAAACTGTCGATTATAGCGTCCAAAGGGACAAGAAATCATCTTGATTATACTGCATAACCATAAATGCCAACGTGTTAGACGGGGGTAATACCGCACCCGCAAACTCATAACCAACTACCAAAGCATCAACTACCAAAGCATCAATTCTCCAGGTCTAATTCACACATGCATGAAGTTGTGGATCACGCGTCCTCCAAACCCCGAGAGATTTCTTTCTTTTCTTGATAATAACGCTCAAAGCCCGAATAACTCCAGAAACTCCGTTTTGCCATTATTGTTTCGCCTCCCGATGCGTAAACCCTCATCCGATGCACAGCCATGATAATTTTTGGGGGGTTGCCGCAATGCCAGGAATGCCAAGTCCACCAGGACTCGAGTAAACAGGTAAAAATAAGAAAAAGTCAAGCAGTAAAAGAAGAACCCAAACAAGAAAAGACGCTGTATGAGGTGTACAAATACATACGAAGCGTGAACGAGACTACTAATGCTGATAACCAGAAAAGCTGCTGTTGCCCCATTCAGAACCACTAGCCCGGGGTGGGATGAGCTCATCTGGAGTTGCTCCGCCACTCGTCGAGTGAAAGCCTGTCGTACCATTCGTAGTTGAGATCGAGCCGTCGTAGTCCGTGGCGGGTTGTACAGGACCAGATGAGCTTGTGGCACTCTGCGAATGTGGCAACCCATCAAAAGAAGATGATGCCGAGTTCTGCGATGTGTATGAACTGGTATTAGGAGCTGCCGAGTTCGAATCGTATGACAGATGGTGATTGGAGCTCCCTGAGCTGGGTTGAGTTCCATAGATATCCGCGCCAGTGCTGAAAGAGCCACTGCCAAGGCTGTGGTTGGCGTCACCATTGCTCGGCAATACGCTGCTACTCAGTTGGCTTCTTGGGAGAGCCGGGGTAGTAAAAGAGTGCTGGTTATTGCCGTTCGCACCATACACGGACGTGTGTCTTCGAAGAGAATTGGGGACAGGACCACCAGACAGATAGCTCGAATCCTGTGAACCATATCTTGACGACAGTGAATTTTGGTCGTATGTATAAGATTGGGCAGACGGCGGAGCGTAGCCGGCCGGGATATGAGCTGTGGAAGGCATGGTCGTTGCTATCGACTGGGAAACCGCGTAGTTCTGGGGTGCGTATTGCGCTGTGTATCCAATGTGAAGGCCGGGCACGCTGGGCACCGTGGGCACCGACATCGATCTCGGGACTGTATTCGTGTAGATGCCTTGCATCATGTACCTGCCATCATCGTATGCTCGAGGATCGTAACCAGCGAAACGCGGGTCGTCGGGCATGACAAAGATGTCGTTGTCGTCAACCGGTGCTCGAAAGTTGCTGTTCTGGATGAGCTCGGCCCGGGGCGGAAATCCTCGCAAGAACGTCTCGCTTGGTCGCATCAAATTACCGTTCTTGACATCTTCGATAGTGTAATAAGATACTATGTGATGTGTAATATTGTTATACGACAGACTGATAGTCTTCTTGATAAGACCGTCCTGCTTGAACTGGTAGCTGTCGACTAGTGACCCTACCAGAGCTCGTGTTTCGGCGTCTCCTTGGCCAGATCCATTCTGGTTATTGAACGATGTCGATGTCGTGGTCGACGATGTTGTGGCTGATCCCATAGCCATCATTCCAGAGTGGCCGATCGAGCTAGATCTCTGGTTGCTAGTCGCCTTGGTCACGCCATTTTCCTTCTTGGGCTTGGCCTTCTTCTTCTGGCCGGGCTCAAACGGCTTATCGAGCTCCCTGTAGATGAGGAAGTTGCCTAGGATACGACTGGGGCTCCACGGGACACCGTCAGTCCATCGTTTGATGCCACTGGCGTGCTCCTCGTAGATGAAGATGTTACCGCTAACGATGAGTTCGGCTCTCTCACGATCGTGCGGTCGCCTTGGGACGTGCTTGCCAGAACCACGAAGGCACCACTCAATAAGGAAGAGGGCATCCATGGTGCTGCCGCAGTATCCTTGCCAGGTTGGCTCCAGAGGAGCACCGGCACCGGTCTGGCTGGACGTGGTGGTCGCTCCAGCCATGCTGCCTCCTGCCGGGCGGTTCATTGTTCGCTGGCAAAGCGACAATGAGCAGAAGCAACGTTGTCTGTTGACGAGTGAAGAAGCTTGAGTTTGAATTCCTTGCCAGAGGTCTTATGGTTCCTGACTAGAAAACTAACCTTAGAAGTTGTCGTAGAGGGAGGATGTGGGAACGAGATATCGTACCGAAACCAAAAAGTGAACCCAAAGAAACTTAAAGCGGAGGGCGGAGGATATATAAGTGGGAAGCTTCCAGACTGCTGACGCGTGGTTGGTGGTTATTCTCCGAATTAAGCAAAGCCGAAGTCTTTTGCTTGAATACGTGCCGTCTTTTCAGCGAAGCAGATATGAATTTTGTTGTTTTGTCGGCCTCCTTGATGTTGTTGATGTGAATAGTTTTTGTAGATGGATTGAGAAATCAGAAGGGCAGCCAGTTCCCATTTATGAAGTGTGAATTTTTCGGCATACGGTAGGTTTTGGGACTGACAAGATGGGACAGGAGAAAGGAGGGCCGATTGTTGCTGCTACCCTCGCGGCCAAATGGTGCCTGGAAAGAGATGAGGACCCTTTGGGAGAGGGCAGAAAATAGACTCTGAAGGTTTTCTCCTGCGTGTGAGAGTGGAAGAGTGACCAAATGGTGCCTGTTGTAGGTAACGCGTGCGTGTGGATAAGAGAAGTTGGTGGCCAACTCCCCAAAGAACTGTGTAGGTTTCTGCAAACTATTGTACAAATGGCGGCACCCTACAAAGTATGCCGAAAACCCGTCCGCTGCAGAAAGAGGCGCGAGCAAGAAGGTCTCGGAGCACCGCTGGTTGTGTGAATTTAAGTTTGCCCCGGTTCTGCGCAGATGTAATGGCAGTCTCACATATCAGTGCTTTTCGGGGTAAAGACAAGCCAGCAGCCCACGGCAGCCTACAAGGTACAAGAGGCTCAGAGGGGGATCGATCCAAACTTGGAGGGGACACTATAATCGGAGAAGGCTGTCTGGGAAGGCGTATTTAAGTTTCGAAGCAAGTCGGGAGAGCCCAGAATGTCCGATGTTTTTGAGCGGCCTGTCTGATGAGATATCGGCACCTACTGGAGCAATATCCCGTAATTGATGCGGGCTTGGTCGGGAAGCCTGGTCGAGAAAAGCAACGCCAAGCGGTCGAGGTGCTGCAGAGAATAGACAGGAAGAAAAAAATTTGGGCTGAAAGGGTGTTCGTTTCTATAATGCTTTTTGTGACCTGGGGTCCAGCTGCAATGACTCGGTCGAGTAACGTCACGGTATATGGTGGTGTTCGTTACTGTCCGGCCGGCAGGGGGGAGCCAATCAACCAGTCCAAAGCTTTTAACAAAGTACCTCTACACTTGCGAGGCTCAGTCCTTGGTAGCTGGGACAATGCGTGGGTGTGTGAGTCTTGGCGCGCTCTATGATTGTGAGGCGTCAGACGGCCGAGCGGGTTGGGGGGAACGGTGGGCACCTAAGGTCGTCCCAAAGCAAAAAATTCCAGATCCGGATATTGCTACTAATGTAATGCAGTCCCCTTGGTCGAGGAGTACAAAAGTAGTGGTAGTGGGTAGTATTATTTCTTTGCTTTCGCGTCGTACGGGGTTTTATGTACGGCGGCTGGACTGGCAAGAAAGAAGCTCGCAATCTGGAAGAAGACGGTCAAGTATGGTAAAAATCCGACTCGACTCTCTTGGCCTCTTTGTGACTCGCCAGGAATTTTTTGCTGCCCTGGCGCCGAGTATTCTAATAGAGTAGATGAAGGAAGATGTGAAGATGAGGAAGAAAACGCAAAGTACAATGGGCAATGGGCAGTAATCGAGACCAGACCCCAAAAAGAACAAACCAAGAGAAATTAGTGGTAATGCCGGCAATGGTGATAATGGGCGCCAGTACGTGAGTAGTAATGGTGATTGTTATGGTGGTTGTAGTAGTAGTGGTGGTGGTGGTTTGGGATCTGGTGGTGGGGGTAAGGTGTAAGTAAGGTAGGTGGTGAGTGGTGGTAGGCGAAGCAGTAGCAGTAGCAATAATAGTAGTGACAGAAGTATGGCTTGGCCGTAGGTAAGGTACCTTGAGCAGGTGGCTGAGATTGTGTACAAGATATATGTACAGGTAGTAGGCAGTAGTCGGTGCTGGCGGTGGTGTAAAAAAAAAAAACAAAAAGGTCGTTTTGGTGGTCAGGCACTACCAAGCTTCAAGGTTGTGCTTGTATGTAGGTAGAGGTAAAAGGATGTAGGCTGGTCCAAGGTAGGTACCGTGTTGTTTATGTTTTAGTGCAAATAATAACGATTGGTGATGAGCATGGAAGTAAAAGTAGTAGTAGCAGTAGCAGCAACAACAGCAACAACAGCAGTGGCAGCAGCAGCAATAGTAGCAAGTAGTAGTGGCAGTAGCAGTGGTAGTCGTAGTCGTAGTGGCTGTGGGCGTTGGGTGTTTTCAATGCTGGTGCTTTCCCTGTTTCCGACTGGAGGATGGAAGCCAGTCCAAGCCAAATCTGGGGAAAGAACGTTAATCGTCAGTGCATAATATCCCAGGCATTTTTCCGAGGTGCAACATCCACTGCCCATCCACAAACCAAATCAAAAAATTCAAAATAAATAATCCCTCCACAGGCAAATCAGGAGCCAAGGACGTCCCGGATGGATGCTCTATCTAGGCTGCTAGGCTTAGGGAAACGAACGAGTGGGCTATGAGTAGGAGGAGGGTGGATTTGGGCATATTTTGGGCTCCAGCTCCTGGGCTATTGGGCTTTGGGCCTGGTGCTTGGCCTAGTGGAGTTGATCGTCTTGCTCAAGGGCAAGTCAGCAAAAAGGGACTGGCCAGGGTCAATGACGATGGAGCAAATGAAGGTACGGGTGCCACTCAGGACAGAACGATCGATCTAATGATCGCTAGCGACGAACACACCCGGACCCATGCTCGGCTGGTCAGACGGGGGTGTGGTAAGGCAGCTCGTGGGCCAAGGTACGGTAGCTAGGTACCGGTAGTCAATCTCTAGACCTGTACCGATAGCTAGACAGACAGACACAGACGTACGGACAGGACCTGGTCCCAGCGCACTCGGAAAAAGAGAAAAGCGTTTTGTGTATAAGTGTAAGTGCGTGGGTGAGTGTGTGTGTGTGTGTGTGTGTGTGTGTGTGTGTGTGTGTCCAGTGCATGTAATAAGAGGGGGCGCAGAAGGTAGCTAGCTGGTGGATGAGGGATGTTGTTCATGTTGGTACAGATCAGATTATTAGCCGCCTGGCTAGCTGAGCAGATACAGGAAGCTACCGAGGTAGAAGTAGAGAGAGAGAGAGGGAGAGGGGATGACAAGCCTGGAATATGGGATGCCCATTTGATGAACTAGGGAATACTAGGCAATGTTGTAGGCATGGCTGATGAGGTCCAGTATCTTGTTATTAGTCAATAACTCCACGATAGGGCAGGCCGCTTAGCACTCAGCGACTCCAAGAGACAGGTGATACAAGGTACAGTGAGCGTTTTTATCCTATGACCTTGTCATGTCGTGTGTTTGTGTTGGTATCTGTTTCTCGCTAGGTCAGACACCACCACCGTTCTGCCCAGCTTGCTGGCTTGTTGGCTGGGCTGCCATGCCGGTTTCGAGGTATGCCAGCATGTCCGCAATGAACGGAAGACTACTTTTCTCCCTTCGTTTTCTCATTTCACTCGCTTTCCTCTATCTCGCTCTATCTTTTATTCTGTGAAGCCCTGCTTTGCGTGTAGGTAGTGAAGGATGGGATGTGAGAGGCGCGGCGGCGGGCAAGTATAGTAGGGGCGGAATAAAACAGAGCGGCACTAAAGGGGGCAATCTCCAGATACAGGAACGCAAGGGTAGGCAGGGTAATTTCTTCAACAGTGCTGCACGCTTACTTACCCTGGTAATCACAAGCAGCGACTCGGCTCTGGTTGTCCTTGTTCGGCCGGCTCTGTGGATGTTTGCTTCGGTAACCAATCTGTTTGGTCTTTCGGCCCTCCTCGACGTGTTGGCTAACTACTGCAGACTGACAAGGCAGAGATTTGAGTTTGGCGGACTACGGGTCCTCGGTACGGGTAACGCTGCTTTCTTCAACCCTCAGACACTAGAAAACCTTATAATCAGCAATGGGCTGGTTTCAACTGCTGCTGATGTCTCAGTCCACGAGCTAATTCTCGTTTCTGCAGCACATCTCGCAGCTTTAGGGAGGAAATGTGGCGGCCATCTTGTCGCTCGGGTCCGTTATCAATGTTGGAGGCTTAGGGAAGAAGAAAAGGGGGCTTGTGAAGATGGGCTAATGGACATACAGGCAGGCAGACGGGCAGGCATTGGTATATGCGCTTGGAAAATGGGAGTGACAATCGACTTACATCAATTCAATCGCCTGCCGCCCCCTGTGACGATCTAAGCACTTCAACCCATGTGTTAGTAGAACTAAGAATTGAAGGGAAAAAGGAAAATCCCAGGAGTAGTTCTGACATCCCAGTACAACACGCATAAACAGAGTAGCTATAACACAAAATAGTACTAATGTGTACTACATCTTCTTTCATGTCAGAGATCTGAGCGTCTGTTGGTCGTACCTATTTCGATGTTGGATTTTGTTCTTTTCGAAGCGCTTTCTTCGATTCCTTCGCTCTCACTCTTTTCTTTCTTTCTTAATGTTCAGAGAGATAGAGATAATTTGGAATGTGTCCTGATGAATGTTAAGGGCCGGAGAATACTTTGGCAGGAGCAGATGTGGCTACAACCTTTTGGGGAAGACAAGAAAGGCCTGCAAGTTTACATGTATGAAGGGTATAAGAAATCATAAAGACCGGCGCTAGCTCCGTGGCAGACTAACGGGCGCGACGTCTAGGTACTTGATTGTGAGGCTGAGTAGACGCTTTGAACAAGGGAAGAATTATATGATCTGGAGATATACCGAAAGCACATTAGCTTCTTCCCCAATTTGCCGTGATTTGACCTGGAAAATTGACAGTAGAAACGGTACGACGCGCCGACTCGATCCGTGATCAGCAAGGGATCCCCATTTGTCAGGCCTGGGCGGGTCTTTTTGAATTC